TGGGAAACGTAGTCCCGCATCCTCTCTTAAGAGGGACTCATGGAGTGGGGGGGGTAACCCCTGGAGCAGGGGCCTCGGCCATCAGCCAAGATGCTGCCCCAGAGCTCCCAGCTGGGCCCTGGCCTGCACCTGGGTACCAGGAGCCTGCACAGCCCCCAGCTCAGGCGCCGCGGAGCAGGCTCTGAGGACAATTTGCGGGGCCGGGAGGGGGGAGGATGCAGGGAGCCCAGGCCTGAGCGGAGCACTAGGGACAGACATGGAGACCTGGTCCCCACAAGCAAGGGCCCCCCTAGCGCTGTACTGAAACCAGCGATTCTCCACCGGGGCTAGAGGGCAGTCCTAGAGTGCCACCAGGAGAAAGGCAGCTAAGCTAAACAGGTAAAAGGCTGACGCAGGCTTGTCCCTGCCCCTCCACCAGGAGGGACCCATTGCAATATATACAAAAACTAGAACTCTTGGTTCCAAAGTAATACCTTTTATTAGACCAACTGGAAAACGGCAAGAAAATTGTCCTTTTCTGCAAGCTTTCGAGGATCAAAGTCCCTTCATCAGGCTCTGGGAAAAGTGTAGATGGTGCAAGATGGTAAGTCCCCATAGATCAGAAATAAACTTCATTTTTCCACAGAGGGAGCTGAAGATGGATGTCTGCCCCTCTCGGTCCATGAGTGTGTCTTTGTGAGCTGTGTTGAGTAGCTACCAAGTACACCCATTGGAATATACACATTCGTTTTTGGAAGGAGGGGCCATGCACGGGTCATAAAGTCCAGTCTAGCGAGGTTGAGAACCGCTGGGTCAGACACTGTGCAACCTCCTCCCGGCCCCAGTCAGCAGAGCGCGGAACGGAAAACAGTCTTCCAGAGCCAGCGGCCCCCGGCAAAGTCATTTCGAACAAGCTCTCCCTTGCTGCTCGCACCAGAGGTGCCAGCATCACCCTGCACGGGTGTACCTCCCCCACGCGCCTGAGGAGGAAGCGAGTGGAGCTGTGACATGGATTCAAGATCAGTGGGTTCGGGGTTTCTACTAGAAAGGTTTGAAAGGGGAACGGTAGCACTGCAGCATGAACATCCTACGACTAACACCACTCTGTCCCACGGGTGTGAGATAGGTAGGAAGAAGAAAGGGGTAAAAATACAGACATATTACCAGCTCCATTCTCCGCATCCCATCTCACACCTAGGCTCTCCCAGGGCCTCTGATCCTATGTATTTGCATTTTCAGAGACCTGCATTTTGCATACTGGGTACTCTCCTGGGTGGAAGCAAAGCCAAAGCGACAACAAACTCTCCCTGTGCCTAAAGGGTGTTTGTACCCAAACATTTGTAAAGAACAATTTTTCCAGCTATTTAGTTGGTCTAATAAAAGATACATTTACCCAAAAAACCTCACCTGCCAGGACACTGAGGTCACATTCACTGCAAGCATCACTCCATCCCCCTTCACCACAGGCTTCAATATCAGCAAGGTTGCTGTTTGAATCTATTCCGGGAGGTTTCATCACATGATGTGATGACATTAGTGACTTCACATCAGGAAGGCAAAAGCACATTACTATTAAATTTTTAAAACCCACTGGACAACTGTATAAATCAGATTCAACATCTAATATTCTTTTTAATGAATGCCCCATCATTCGTCTCCCAGGTGACTCTCAGCAGTCTCCTGGAAATTTCTCTCCGATTCCTGGAGACCCCAGGGCAATCCTGAATACCAGACATCTTTTGTCAATATTTTAGTTACCTCCAAGCTGCCATAGAAGAGCATGTATGTATAAAGTGGAGGACAGGGGAGAGAAAAAGCCCACATCCCACACTGCATCTTGGGTTCTGCAGCTTGTAAAAGGGAACTGACACCTACACCCACACAGCTCTGCATTGAAGGTGACTGTTGGAATGAGCTATGGCTGTAACCTACCACATCTTCAATGCTCATCACCACAAAAGAGGGAGTGGTTACTCTGTAAGGCCTGGGGTTGTGTTTTAGACCACAGACTGATTTCAGCCATCAGTGATATTGGCAGTGCACTTTCAATCAGCCAATCTGAAGGGTAGTCATTTTATAATACTGCAAAACCTCCAATTCATAAACCTGGGATTCACTGGCTTTGGGCTTATTTAGAACATAGCACGCCCACAAAGATCATCACATGAACCTCAGAGCATAGAAACTTGGGAATATATTAACAGAAGCCCGAAAGTGCATTTTCCCCTTTTTTAGAAAGGCAGGAATCTTGGCTAATGTGAGCTAGTCCAGGTGACGAGTAGATTAGCCAAGTCTTGTGTTAAAAGACCAGTGTGACAAAGGAACTACATTGGCAACATTTGCAAATATTAAAATATTTCTCACCAAAGCCTTTGAGATGGAGAAATGCAAGCAGACAGTTAAAATAACTTTGTCCAGTGCCATGTAGGAGTCCATAGCAGAGCTACAGACTGAGACGCACAAGAACTGTTGAATGCTAGTGCTGCATATAAGTCTCTCTCCTCTTGTGATGTACATTCAGATCCTGCTGATCATGAACACCTGTTCACACTAAGAATTTAACATGGTGTACTACTTAGGCTAGTGAATCATTGACTATTCATGCTGGTTTGGCAGTGACTGTTCAGCTACATCTGTCATTTACCTCCTGAAATATCCAACTCATTAGAGCTGTTTGTTACATTCCTATTAAAAAATATGAAATGAAATGTTGAAGTTAAGACTCTGGTGCCTGGCACTGATTTTCCGTTTGAAACATGAATTCTAAAGATAATGGTTTCATGCACAAGCTGGGGGTTACTTCAAGGAGCCCCAAAAAAGTAAATATTTCTCATTTTAAACAGCCATCAGCTGCATTTTTAATACACACACTATTATGTACCTTCATTCGGTGCCTACACTCCTGTTTAACCAATATTTACATGAAGCCCCAGTACCTCAAGCTCTGCTTGGTTGCTGTGGTGGCAGTGGAGATAAAAGACCATTAACAATCCATTTAAGTACATGTTGGCAGATAAACAGCACTGAAAAGGTCTGTCATCTTCCTTTTGAATGCTGTTCCTTTGCCAAAAATCAGGTAAGGTAACAATCAGACGAGTAAAAATTTCATTCTCAGGGGATTGGGGTGGGGGGTGATACCTATCCTGAAGTGACACTTGCATTGACAGAAGAAGAGTATTTGTGTACGTGTGATGATCCTTATGACCACAGAAATTGGACCTTCTAAGTAATCTGCTTCTTAGTTTTGACTGATAATCTCTTCAACTACTAAGGTATTAAAACACAGGCAACAAATGTCTTTTCCTCTACAAACAATAAAGTAGTTAAGAGAAACCTCCAATACAAAAATCAAGACATCAAGACCATTCAGAGATTAAAGCAACATAATCCCAGTTATAGCATTATGAAGAGCCCAAGTAAACCCACAAGACAAATCACTGCAAGTTTGTTTTAATACTGGCCAGCACAGATGGTGCAGAGAAAAAAAAAAAAAAAACCAATGAAGAAATTTCCAATGGATAACTTAAATACAGCCACAGATATAACTATAAGGCTCCAGGGCAGACGTGCTGACAGAATTCTTAACCAAGTACATGCATTTTCCAGGACTGTTCAAAGCAGCTTGTGTGTCAGTCAGCCTTTCATGATCATGCCCTAAATCCCATTATGGAATTTGTGACTAATCTGTACAAAGCAATGCGATTGAGAAGCAGCTGCACAGTTGACATTTGATGCAAAACACACTTTCAAGGAATATTTCTACTGTTACATTAATAGCACTTATTTGCATCCCCAGACAATACATTCTGATTGTTGTCAGAAGACCAACACACACCTGCTGCCCTATGGATTACATTCAGTTGAGGGCCAGGACATGGCAGGGCAAAGCAAGGGAAAAGCTCATTGATAATCTATTAGAAATAAGGCTGCTGTTTTGATGCAACTCAGATGTAAGTTTTCACCCTCCCTCCCCACTGCGCTTCAGTGGGACAGAACTATGGTGGAGTCATCAGAAGCTTTGGCGTATCCTATACATCTTCCATAACTCATCACTAGTTCAAACCTACCTGGAAAAGTTAAGAGAAATGTTTGACAAAAGAAAAAGGTGTGGTGTAGCATGCATTGAAAACCATTTAAGCACCATCCAACTACTCAAACGGTTGACATTTGATTTTCAGTGCTCACAAGCAGCAGACAGGATCTTTTTCCTTAAGCTTTCCCTTACTTCCCCCTGCCATGTCCTGGCCCACAACTGAATGTAATCCATAGGGCAGCAGGTGTGTGTTGGTCTTCTGACAACAATCAGAATGTATTGTCTGGGGATGCAAATAAGTGCTATTAATTTAACAGTAGAAATATTTCTTGAAAGTCTGTTTTGCATCAAATGTCAACTGTGCAGCTGCTTCTCAATCACACTGCTTTGTACAGATAGTCACAAATTCCATAATGGGATTTAGGGCATGATCATGAAAGGCTGACTGACACACAAGCTGCTTTGAACAGTCCTGGAAAATGCATGTACTTGGTTAAGAGGGCTGTGCACACCAAATCATGCTTCTCTATTTCTCATGCTTGAAAGAAGGAAAGATTCAGTCAACTTTCCTGGGACTTGCCCTCATTTCCTGGGACTCCAGGTGTTTCAAGCCAGTTTGGCTACTGAAATAAATCTGTCTTCTCCACTGAGTCAGCACTTTATACAGTAGTTTGACCAGCTAATGTAGCACTTATTTAAACAGAAATAACAGACAGATGCTCAAGTGAAGAATTCACTGTATATTTATTATTCACAGTTAATTACTATCTACCAAATGCTGCTGCAGAGTTAAAGGATTAAGTACATAGGCCTTTTATTTAAACACTGATTCTTTTTTAATATATATACACACACAAGACATATGTCTGCAAGGCTGCATGATATACACCAATTCCAAAATAAGGAAACAATCAAATGGTCCAGGTGTAGAATGCCATAGATTCCTTTTCCAATCACTTTAGAAAGGAGGAAAAAGTGAATGACAGCTAGCAAGGACTGGGGAGAAATTAATACTCTACAGGGTAGTTCTCTCTTTCATCTGCTGGAGAATTAAAGTGTAAGGCAGAGTCCATCTCAGGAAGAAAATGTTTGTAACACTTAGTACAAAAAGGCACCCGCCAACAAAGGAACTTCTCCACTTGAGCAAGGTGGGAGATCTCCGTTGCAGTTTTTGGGTTCGTTGTTGGGGTAAAGGGGTTCAGTCGCATGGCCACCAAAAAGGAACAGCGTAACTGAAGATTGGCACAAAAAGCTCCAGAGTTTGATTCCTCTCCTTTTTGTCCAAATCAAACTGCTCTGGCAGAGGAGCAAATGGCCTCAACAAAATGCCATCATGGTGGAGAAGAAGGGACACTGTCACTGCACAGCCTGCTGTGAAATGGGAGTGAAGACGACAGAATTGGCTTCTTAAAACAGTTTAACACTGGCATGAGGAAGAAGGGGTAGAGAGAAACAGGAGAACAGCAATGCAAACTTCCTCTTTCAAGTGCAAGACATGACTGCAAATATTTCCTACCTAGCCCAAAAAAGGAGCCAGACTGATTACATGATTCACGTATGAACATTCACTAAAAGCTTAAAAGTGTTTTCAAGCGCTAGTTCTTGAGGTTTCTTTGCATTATAAAGCTTCCTGTCGAAAGGAATGTACATTTCATAGGATATCTCAGGACTAGTCTCTTCCATAATAGTAATCTGGTGCTACTTTCCTCATCTCTGCCCCAAAATATTTTTTGCTCATTCCCATCAACCATAATGGAACGATTGCCTCCCCCCATCTCCTGAGGCTCTTGGCTGCAACTCCTCACCCTGAGCAGCCTAGGCTGCTTCCTACAACACTGTCTGCCTTGTATTTTCCCTTGGAATAAGGAAAGTCACATGATAAGACATTAAAATTAAAGCTCCATCCTTGTCTGTGGATGTTTTTATATTCATTGATATAAACTACCCATCCCTTCACTCCCTTCCCCCTAAAAATAATTATTTACACAGAAGCAGGAACAAAAAAAACTTCTCTGAAAAGTTCTGGACTGTCCTTTTAACTTAAGAAAATAAGGGAAAAGGCACTATGGAAAACAGTTACAGAATGTGCTCGATAATACACCTTTAAGAAAAAACCAAAAAAGCTGTCACCACATGAGAGAACAGACTTCAGTTGTAGTTTGAAGTTTCTCAAAAGCAGCTCCGCAACTTTAAAAGAAACCTCGTCTCCTCCACTCTGCTCTGAAGCTGCTCAGCTTCAGAGGGAAGAGGGTCTAAAGAGAGAGGGGGAAAAAAAAGAAAACACTTAGCCTTCCCCAGACTGAAGGAGCTGAATGTTGAAGGCAAAAAAAGCAGAGACTGGCTGATTTGTTGTTGTTGTGTTTTTGTTTTTGTTTTTTTAAAGGCAGGACAGTGGATTTGGCTCTTCTCTCTTCTCCCTCCAGGTCAAATGAAGACTGTGTGCAGAGAGAAAATACCAGCAGAGTTTCTCCCTTTTCCTTTATCAGCATGGCTAGGACTTTACATGGCATTAAAACTTCATGCACTGATGGACAGAGGATAGGGGAAAAGGAAGAGTGAAAAGGGGGTAAACCCAGGAGCAGCCGAGAAAAATCTGTTAATTTTTTTTTTTTTAATTTAAAGATAAGTTTTGGCGTGTAAGTTGCTCTCCCTCCCACCCCCAAAGTTCCATACTGAGTGAAGGAGGATCACCTCATGGTACTAGGTGACTCAGCTTTACCGTCCTGTGACACTAGATCACCGGCTGCAGTTAGATTCTGTATGTGTATTTACTGTTTCTCCGATTTCTTTAAATAATCTCTAATATTTATCTCTAGATGTTCCGGTTCACTGGGGTCACGTAGTTGCGCGGAAACATGCCCGTCTGTCCGTGGCATGCTCCCTTCCACCAGTTGGGATCAGAGTTGTCAAGGACCTGGATAAAGTCTCCGCGGCGGAAGCCCAGCTCGCCTTCCTCCTGGGGGTCAAAATCGAAAAGGGCCTGAACGTATGTAGGTTGCTGCATGGAAAAAAAAAAACAAAGGTGAGGGTAAAAAAAAAAAAAAAAAGCACACAAGTTCCCTGACAACCCCAGCGTTACAGACTAGGTATCAGCCCTGCATCAGAGTTCAGGGTCTGCTAGCAAATAGTTGGGCTGTTTCAGTTCTCTGTGCATCATCACCATCTTCAGCTGGTCAATTTAGAATATAGACGGACTTTGAAAATGGTCAAACAGAGCAGATTAAAACAGCTATAAGAAAGATCTTGGGTGTCTTTATTCTAAAAGTCCCACTGGGTTCATATATTTATCAGGCGGCCATACTTTAAGGGCTACTGGAGCCCCAACATGTACACTTTCACTTCTGCATCAGTGTTCCTTTGGTTCTTCTCCTTTGTGTCCCAAAGCTTTGCCTCTCTTCTCCCTCAGGTTGCATCTCAGGGCACATATACACGTGTCGGATGCCTGCTCCGACATGCGCTAATTAGCATGCTCCAGCTGCTAATGACACATGCTAACTAGCACCCCTGGCTAATTAGCACACTCCAGCTGTCTCAGCATCACATGTATTCAGTGTCCCCACACTTAAAAAGCGCTCCTGCTGCCATTTAAACTAAAGCCTGTTTGACGAGCTTTAATTAGTGACCCCTCTGCCATTTTGAAGTGTGGAACACCGAATACTCAAGACACTGCCAGCGCTTTAATTAGGGTGCCTCCTGAGAGCCACTCTAACTAAAGCACCTCACCCCCACCCTGGAGCATGTGTAAAGTCATCCTCAGAGTTTGCAAAGCTGATCAATATTGATGAGCTCAGCCATTGCCATGAAGCTACGGTTTCCTCTAAAGAGGGATGCACTAGGACCTTACTGAGGTTTTAAAATATTTCTTTGAAGTTTTCTAACTATAGTTCAATTCATTGTGAAGTTCTGTTGTACAGAATATTAAAAAAAAATCCAGTTGGACAGTTTTGCCTACTGTATTTGTGGAAACAAAGTATATTCTACAGTAAAACTAAGACACTAGGAAGGTTAAATTTTCAGTTGTATTTCTTTTAAATTTCTCTGCTAATTTAGTACTTGCCTGGCAGCCCTGAAAGACTGGTGTCCTGTTAGCCATTGGTAAGTATAGCAGAGGCAAATCAGTAGTGTAGCATAAGCTCTCACCACCATCTATGTTGTCAGGGCTGAAGAAACTATATCTAACAGAAAGATTATCTTTCTAACAAGGCAAAAATGCCAAATAAATTACCTGATCTGATTATTTTAATTTGTTTTTCAAATATTGTAGTGTACACCTCACCCAAGAGCCATTAAGCAGTAACTTTCAGTCGCTATCAACATGGGATGGATTCAAACCAACAACCCAGACAAACTTCATGCACCATTATTTTTAACCATCCAGTCCCTCAGCTACATGCCTTGAGAAGAAAGGGAGGCAGTGTACAACTGAGAACCAAATTCTGCCTAAAAATATAGGAAATCAGTAAAGAAGTCTCCTTGAAACAAATGTAGAGAAGGAAAGGCCTATTTCAGGGGTCCCCAACTTTCACTGACCAACAGGCAGTGCTGTGGGCAACATTACACTTTCCTTGTCAGCTTCAGTTTTGGACTTTGGATTTTCCTTGGCTGTGAACAATATTAGAGGATCTTGTGGGCAGCATGCTGCCCCCCAAGCTGGATGTTGGGGTTCATTGGTTAAAGACACGATTAAGGCCATGTTTTATTCATGGAGCTTACCAGAAAGCTTTAGACAGAGATCATCTGGGGTCAACCTTAAAAATGGACTGTGATATCAGGAAGTCATAGGGACACACAGGTGCTTACCAGTGACAGAAAGCTCTTCCAAAAAAAGAGGGGCACAGGAACAGAATCTATTTCTCCTTACAGGGACTGTCTGCAGGATCCAAGTGTCAGAACCATATAATGAAGTAGCTAATCTTTTTCTCCCTGTAGAACAAGTTGAGAGGCCCAGCAGCCCTTCCTACTCTAGGCTCCTGACATCTCCCGTTGAGGTTGTGAGGGTAATGCTCTTATCCTTCCACCTTACCTGTGGCACCTGCTCAATGTCTCTGAGGAATATCTGCTGATTTCTGGAGACAGAGGTGGATCTGTGATAGTCTACCAGCTCGTTCAGAGAATTGAACTTCACCACCCAGAGGAAATACTTGCCAGCCCCATCTCTAAGCACCTTGAAATGCTGCACATCATTTCCAAACCTGGAGGGGGAGAAAAAAGAATGAGCATACACGATCACATTGTGTTTCCCTTCCTAGGCTGACAGAAATGAAAAAAAAGAAACACAGAAAGATAATTCCAAGCATAAGGAGGATAGTTCCTTTGTTAATGACTGCAAGATCCTTATACTGAAGAGTATATAAAGTAACCCACTGCCACCTATAAAGGCTAAAAGTTGGGGGAAAGCAACTAGGAACATACACTGTGCAGGTAAGAATGGACTGTAGATAAGGTCTATGTCCGAGGTACGTTTTGAAAGAAAAACAAGCTTGTCAAGCCTGGTCTCAAACTTCTTAGAATTTTAGACATTTATGTTCAAAATATGGGGTAATTTGATCATATATTCCAAAGATATGCTGCTCAGTACAAATGGACTCTAATACTAAATTTCAGCTTTCCTATGCTGCCATTCCATACGGCAAGAGGGCTGGGATGTGAATAGGCATGCCTTGGCACGTGTGTATTTGGGAAGAACAGGTGGGGTGTTTGGGAGAGGGTGTAGGCCAGGACCCCATGTGGTGCACCAGGGCACTTTAATGATCTGTGGTGGGTAGCCAATTTCTTTTGAAGTGAGGACTCAAGAGCTACAGTGTGTTTTCTGGAGGTGCCTGTTTCTAGCTGAATTACTCTCGACTAAGAGCAAAGCAACTGCTAATGCTGTCTCGATAGGTTTGATGTCCCAACTACTGGGTAGCAAAGCCATTCTGCCACAGCGTTCTGGATGGAAACCTCACAAAAAATCTTTGTTAAGGTGGAGCTAAAACTGATACCCTGATACACCACGGTGCTTTATGCCTCCTCTCCCTTTGGAACATAAAACTTCAAAATCCGCAACTCAAATTTATCACGAGGCGAGCACTCCAGTAAGATCTGTCCAAAAAATGGCTACGCAATTCAATGAAATTTGAAAATGCAGAGTTACGGTACTATTGCCCCTACACAACTGCAACTTTTGCCCCATTTTAAGCACTTTATTCAACATGTGAAGAGGCCAAATAGTTTTCGCTTTTAATGAAAACAGTTCCTTTTTGCAGCCATTTTGTTCTAATGGAAGTGGAGACATGAATGGGCTACTGCAGAGTGGTACATAGAGACAGCATTACAATGGTTTGCCTCTATAATCCTAAATATTGAAAAGATGAACTAACGGCTATTTGGTATTAGCAGAGTTTATCATTACCAGCTAGTACACTAGTATTCCAAAAAGCAAGTATCAAACATGTATGCTTAATGCTTCGATTCTTTCCTCAGCCTGAGAAAGTTTCTTTCTATTTCAGATGCTGCAGAAGAGGTTAATAAACCCACTTACTGGATAACCTGAAAGCTTTTTCCCTTTTGAAAGAACTTAAAAAATGTGAAAGAAAAACAAAATCACAAATCTGAGAAAATTACCAGGAGGTGGCCACATTGAGCTATCAGGCAGGCAGCAATGGGTTAGTAGACCCCAGCATTTAAAACAAACATGTAGTAGTTTGTAAAGAAATAAGCTTCCCCTTTTTCTTTTGTTTCTGGTCATTCATATAACCCTTGTTCTTTGCTAATCCATCAGATTGTGCCAAAAACCAAATATACAGGCATGGAAAATTCAACTCTCTCCAGCAACCTCAGGTGGATAAACAGGACGTGATGCTTAGGTTCTAAAAAAGGTATTGCTCAAAACTGCTGGATAAAGGGAGCCTGCCAGTAGGTGGAGAGAAAGAAGGAAGTTAACTGCAAGAAGGAAGGGAGATCTTTTAAGCACATAAACCATACACAGGCAAGTCAAACTGTCAGATAGTTTTACAGTGCTGTCCTGGGGCTTATGCAGCTGGTGTGGGACTTTATTAATTATCAAATATCAACCACCACCCGGTAACAACAATTGCTGTTTGTTAAGACAGCAACTCCAGGTATTACTGTAATTACAATATTAAGTAATAACTCCCAGCAAAACCAGATCCATTTCTAGAATGGAGTTTAGGCCTGGCCAACAAGGAAGGAAGGACGGAATGGCTACTTACGACTCCTGTCATGGTAGTCCAATCCAATACATGCCCAGTTTAGTGTGAACTCACTAAGCTTGTTGTCACCAACTCAGTTTTAGTGAAACATCAACTCAATAATGTAACACCTGATAGGCCACAGCACGTACGTTTTCTTATTATTAGTGATGCAGATGCATGTTAAATGAAAGAACAGAGTTGTTGGGCATTCAAGAGAAAGGGACAGTTGTGAAAGACAGGGACAGAACCCAAATGAGCATGGGATGACCTCTTAGCACGCTGGTTGCTTCAGGGCATTACTCACTTGACTGAGAGCGAGAAGTCCCCAGGAGCGCTCTCGCTCTCCCTGATGAGAAAGGCACCATCATGTCTCTGTTTACCTAACATCTCCTCAGCCTTTGCTCTAGGGATCTTCCCAAAAAACCATCTGTGGTGGGGGGGAAAAAAAAAAATAAGTTACACACTGGCCTTTTCCCATGGAAGGTGCATAACTGGACATTTACCCAGAGATAAAGCAATTTAAACGGAAGTAGTAATAGACTGAACTGCACCCTGATACTGCTCCACAGAACCTTTGCTGTGTTAGACTTGTTATTCTGGTCCAAGTCCCTTTATGCCGTGAATAAATATCACCGCAACTCCATCAAAAGGGTACTGAATTAGCCTCATCAGGATCACTTGCCGTGTTTCCAAATTAAATCCCTTCAAAACTCAGCATGTACAGTACGAACAAAAACAGAAGCTACTGAAGGGAAATGAGCAGCACTTCACCTCTTTGGAGGAAGGTGAATACAGGCAGTCCTCGGACTTACGACAAAACTGGTTCCTGAAAACCGCATCTTAAGTCGAAACGTTGCAACTCAGAACCAATTTTCTCATAAGAAACAGTGTTATAAATGGGGGATTGGTTCCTGAACCAAGGCCCGATACCCTATTTTCACCAAAAATACCCCAGAATTTTGTACTCATTCAATTATAGATGAGTAATAAAGCTACATTAATGTATTTATATTAATTATATAAATAGCATATTATATTATATAAATAGCAATCATATTGATTTGGATGGACTTCTTTCCGGTGTCTTTGCTGAACTTCTTGAAGAGTTCTTGGCTGGAGTCTTCTCAGGAGTCTCGGCTGCAGGTTTTTCTAGAGTATCGTCTGCTTTCTTAAAGAAAGTGTCCAAGGAAGTTTGGACAGATGTTCTCCAGGGAGATGGGTGACAGTGAACTTGTTCACTGGCATGGCATTAAATCAGATCAAGAGTTGTAAAGTCAAAACCAACGTCAAAGTTGAAACATGGTGTCAATTTATAAACATAACTCAAAACATTGTAAGTTGAGGACGGCCTGTACAGTCATCTGTTTTCCCAGCCTCTCTTTACTATTCTAGTATAGAAATCACTTTTACAGAAATGCAGATTAAAGTCTGCTTTCCATTTTGGTTTAACCTTGCAGTACAGATGTGATTTAAATTATACCCTCAAAAATCACTGTAGCCTTAAACAAACTAAAGCCTGTAGAATAGTTCAGGACAATATTTTGTTAATTATGTCCATGACAACGTAGACGAAATGGCTAGTCCAAGAAAGGAACAAGTCATAGTAAAAATCTTCTTCTACAGTTCATGGGGTAGAGGCCTGTGTTTCTGTAACAGAAGACATAAAAGAGTTCCCTCCTGTGCAGGTGGCAGATACAAACTTTAAATCAGTAACTATAAAACAGGGGTGGGGCAAAATATGATCTGCAGAGGACTTTGTCTGGCCTATGGTGGGTCCCTTGGTCCCACCTGGCCCAGGCACTGTCTGGCCCATGGCACCTCCCACTGCCTCCAGGTATCCAGGGCTGGGGTGACTGCGATTGGACTCCATTTCTAAGCAACCCAGGTGGCGGTAGCTCCTTCTAGCTGCTGCTGCTGACCCCAACCGCATGGAAACTGGTAGGAACCCACATGCAGTCCCGGCCCTCGTCTGGCCCACCCCACGCCTGCTCTGGACCTGCCCCGACCAGAAAGGAGCAGCCAGACCAGCCAGAATCTGTGCCCACAGCCCTGGCCCCAGGCCACCCTGTGTCCACTCCAGACCAGCCCGCTCACAATAGGTGGTGGCAGCAGTGGTGGCCAGGCAGAAGCTGCTGCTGGGTGAGAGGGAAAACCAGGCACCTCCTCCTTACCGCTGCTGGGACCTTCTTGCTGCAACTGCCCAGAACCTGTGCCTGGGCTGCCCCAAGGCTCCCTTCCACTGCCGTCACCACCACCACCAGTGTAGCCTCTGGGTCACTCAGCGGGCAAGCGATGGCAGTAGAGAGGAGCTGCAGGGCTGCCCAGGGGTAGCTCTAGGCAGCCACAGTAAGAGGGGCTAGGCAGAGGCAAGGGGAGGTGGCTGCTTTTCCCTTGCACCCAGCAGCAGCTTCTGCCCAGCTGCCATCGCTGCTCATCATGGATGGGCCAGTTTGGAAAAGGCATGGGGTAAGCCAGGGCCTTGGCTGTGGGTCCCAGCTGGTCCGTTCCGGCCTGGGCAAGTCCAAAGCAGGCATGGGGTGGGCCGGGGCGGTGTGCTCAGCTGCTGCTGGGTGCTGGTGGCAGCAGCAGTGGCAGGGGGGGGGCGGCCGGGGCACAATCTCTG